CTATGGCTAAGGCTAGGCTAAGGCTAAGGCTTAAGGCTAACATCGACAGTCACGCCTCACCCCACCTCTCTGGCTAGAGCAAGGCTAGCGCTAAGGTTCTATCCCTTGGGGGTCGGCGGCTGCAGGCGGTAGCCTGGTAAATATTGAAATCCCATGACCACTAACTGACCATTCGTCATTCACTAATTTTGAGCCCAGCTCATGTAATTACAATGTCAATCATTTTTGTAGACATCTCCACTTGTCCGCGATGTGCAACATGTATTTTGCTGCAACTTGACCAAGCTGCAGCCACTGGTGGAGACATACATGCCAATTGCATCAACTGAAGTCTGCCGAACTGCGACACTCGGATCATGCAGGTGTCCACTGATGGCAAACCTCAACAGCAATAGAAATGCCGAAATGCCCTTGTTACTAGGAGAGAGGAGCTACTAGTAGTAAGGCACCTTGCTACTAGTAGCTTCTTGCTCCTGGTCCTAGTAGTATAGCTACTAGTACTGATGCCCTTGCTAGTTGAGGTTGTGCTGCTTGTCAAACACTACAGTCACTATCGCTTGATACGTTGTTCCTAGATTCGGTGCAACCAGTTGAATGAGAGGTCAACTATCGGCCCGCAGGCCTGATCTGACACCGGCCGAGTCGCAAAAGCGGTCGGTCCAAGGCAATCAGTTTGGTGAGACCTTTAATGGCTTCCAGTCGCACCGAAGGGCACATATCTTCCAATCGACCTCTAAGATGTCCCACGTGTTCCGCATCCCCTTGGCCGCAAACGCTGGCTGGAGTCACTCGCAAACAGGAGAAACATGACGCAGGTCACAAGGGAAAGGGCTTGTAGATCGAACGTGGCCAAATAGTTTAGGAGTTTAGGATAGTTTAGGTGTCAAGACATATGTCACGTGTAGTTCAGCTGGCAGGCAAGTGTCCAAAGGCTGCTAGCATCTTGACGCAAACCTGCCTGTCAAAGAGCGAAGGACATGGGTGCAACTTTGCCTGGAAGAAATGCCAGCCTCGCCTGGTCCGCGAGCAGGAACCCTCCAGGCGGGCAAGGGCCTCTAAATCTCAACCAAGAAGTAGTAGTCTCGTCGGTCTTGCAAAAAATAGCTAGGCCATCCATCGGTGAATCTAAGGGAATTGTCAGTCTTCTGCCCGCCTCCTTTTGTGTCGTAGGACGACTTGCCTCAAAGAGTTACAGTAGCTCTCTCATTCAGCATGCTCACATCAGCTTGCAGAAAGTGACAGGGTGTTTCACCCACGCTTCACCTTTCATGATCGAATCCCCTGGCCAGCCAAGCTACCAGTGCACCATCTAAAAGCACCGCAGCTGCTGCATCACGTGCATCTTGCGTGTCCGAGCCCAATATTGGCGGTATTTGCAAGCAATCCCACACCTGCAAACGAGCTAAATCTTTGCGGCAACATATCATATAATGGTTATATATATATAATGATATATATTTTTGTGTGTATTGTAACATTGTAGCTCCGAACAAACAGCAAAACTCCAGCCTCGGCCTCCACAGCTGACCAGACCTCTCCCACCGCAGAAAGGAATTTTTGTATGTAAAGGCCAGGAGCCCCTAATAGCGTCCTTGTTACTACTAGTAAGGCACTTGTTACTAGAAGCGATGCACTTGTTACTAATAGCTTACCCAAAATAGAAGTGGCGAGAAAAACATGTATAATGCTGACCTAGCATGCTCTGGGCTGCCGGCGGCATGATCTGCATATGTGCAGTTTTGGGCCACCAGCTGCAACTGGTTCAGAACCTATCAAAAAGTCTTCGGCCCAAACAGCACTTGCTACCCAATCCCAACTGCCGGTGCTTTGTTGAAATGGTTCACACAATTGAACCACCAAAGCCAGGCCCAACTACAATAACAACGTGCCCGCATGGCTGCTATGGCCACGCCATTGTGCATGCTGCACTTGCCATTGTGCATGCCATTGTCGCGCACCTCTTTGGCCAGTGCAGACTGCAACGCAGAGCGAAGCATCTCCGTTGAAACCACGAGCCTCAGGTCTGGTGACCAGGGCTGACGTGTTTGACACTCCAGACTGAAGCTGCTCTGGCTATGACTATATATTTGTGACTCAGATCCACCATTGCAAGCAAACCTCTACACCCTAAGCAAAGGCACTGGAGTTCTTTCTCAGGTAAAGCCTCGCAGCGGGCACTATCAGGTAAGAGTCGTCCGCCACACAGCAGCTTTTGGCCTCAACATTTGAAGACCCTGTCTGCGCGGCGATTTAGCTGATCTGAATGCACATCCACATTACTCAAAGCAAACTACAGTAGATTTCATGAAATTTCAGATTTTCTAGCTCTTGAGGTCTCCGGCAGATTTGTGGCACGGCCCATCCATCCTCAATGGCGCGCTTCATGTCGCCCACCTTGGACCTGAGTCAGCTGGATCAAGACAACATGATGCCTGTGGGGAAATAATTGGGAAAGTACATTCCAATGAGCATTGGCATGGTAATTCATGGGCTCACATACTGCATACGATTACTATGTATCATAGATGCTAGTAAAGATATAAATGTATAAGTAAAAATAACATGAATATAACACAAGAATTAATACTATATATAAGTATGATATAAATTGTGTATATAATAGGTTACTCTCCATAAATTTCCTAGTTCCACACTTCAAGCCCAAGCGCTCGAGTGGCATCTCTAGCTCCATGCATTGACCAGACAGGCCAACAACGCTGTAGCAAACCGCCATGAGCTTCAAAGAGTCACATTACCAATGCACCGCTACTAGTAACAAAGAGCATCGCTACTAGGAGCAAGGACGCTACTAGTGGCTCCTGGCATTACTACTAGTAGCTGGCAAGGATGCTACTAGTAACAAAGGGCCTGCTGCGCTCAGAATGGCTGCACAGAATCTACTGCCCGAACACCATTGACTGCAAAACAAAACATGTCATGTGCAGCCGGAAACAATGAGCTGCATTGGCTGCTAGTGAGCGGATCTCTGCTTTCTGGTATCCCGTGGTAGCCCTCGCATGATCTCAATTTAGGCCTTTTGCAGCCTCATGATGATCCTGGCTTGGGAACAAATGTGTGAGGTGATTTGGCATGTCATGTTGCTCTCAAACTGATCTGCTCTCTGGACACTGCAGCATCTCATCCAGAATCAAGGGCCGCAACCGAGCATCCTCAACACCTGAGTGTTGAAGGGCATTCCCACAAGGGTGGACGGCGCATGGTGGATAATAATCACGGTTGATCATGTTTTATCAGTTTTTCTTGTCCAGTCGAAAGCTTCTATTGGCCTTACTATATATATATATATATGATTCAAATCCGTGCTGCTGAGGCTTGAACCCATAGGTCCTCAAGAGGATCGGCATGGCGCCATGCGTCTTCCGGGTGACATCTTCGGGCTCGTCCGGCCACGGGCTCTTCCCACGCTGCTTCTTGCTACTAGTAGCTTCCTTGCTCCTAGTAGTAAGGCCAGGAGCCCCGTTCGTAGCGTCCGATCGCTCCTAGTAGTGATGCCAGGAGCCCCTAGTAGCTTTGTGTTCCTAGTCACAATGCACTTACTAGTAGCTACTAGTAGCTTCTTGAGTCTAAGACTATCACACTGCCACACTCCGCTACATGATCACCGCCATTTTGAGGATCATTCGAATCATTCGACTGTTCGACTTTGGCAAAGTAGCAGTTCCACGCATGAGCCATAACCTTGATCCCTCTCAGTGGCAAAAAAGAGCCGTATTTTGGCATATTTTAATGCAGGTTCTATCAGGTTCCAACATCTTACAACTATTAGGAGAGCTCTCGGACTATTTTGCGCACGCACGGCCTTGAAAACACTTCATCAGCCTCATCCTTGGCGCGGACTGTCACTTGGGACATTCTTGCATGGTAAAGTCTCCATGAATGGCCTTTACGAGGCCACTTTGGGCCCTGCGCATGTTCCCTGTCTAGTGGTGGATCTATTCATTATTCACTCTCCTCTTGCAGCTTGCCTCAGGACAGGATCACAAGCAATTTCCCATCTACTCTTTTCGCCCTCCGAGGAGGGAGCGCAAGGTTTGCTGCGCCAAGCTGGCAATCACAGCTGGCTGATGCCCCTCTCTGAACTCTGTCAAGTTCCTGGTGGAAAAGGCGCCCGGTCGCAAACATCCAAACCACATTCTGAGCAGGGGATGCTGCTGGTGCCCAGATTTCCAAGATTGATGACTACAACCTTCGAAGTGTGTGTTGGTATGTTTGGAAGAGACGATGTCGATCTCCTGCCAGAGATGGGATCAATGACACACCACCTTCCATGCTGTGGCCTCAGCTGCTATATACTGAGCAGCACTAAGCTAGGAAGGGATCCTTGGATTTTCCACCCTCCTTTCAGCAGTGTAACATGCATTGCCAAACAATAAACCAATGCAATAATTGGCAAGCAAAAAAACATGAACAGCTGCTTTCATAATTTCATCCTTCTTGCATCATCGTCGTCACACTGCAAAACAGCAGGATGTGACTGATCACAAGATCCCGACCCAGTACCAAATGGATCCCGCCTGAGCTTGTCAAACGAGTGAAGCATCACAGGTTCGACAAACATGCCTGCCACTAAGCCAGGCCACAGGTTCGACCAAAGCCGCCCATCTTGAGATCCGGCCTCAGGACGTTCTGCAGGCGACTGCCGCACCTGTTGCGTTGCAGGACTGCCGCGGGCACCTTCACCTTTTCTGGCGGCTAGGCGGGCTCAGTGCAAAGGCGAACGTCCATCTCAAATTGCGGCGCTGGCTTGGAAGCGTGCGGCCAATTGTGGAACAAGCATGGATGATTTACAGGTGAGAAGCATTGTCATAAGAACCTTTTAAGAGACGGGACTGAGCCGAGCCTGAACATGCTGTTGCCAGTGCATTGCTCTGGACTCTAGAGGAAGCAGCCAGTCTACCAATCTCTATGCAACTGCCGCAGCTATTCAGCTTTGAGCTAGTTCTTCCGCCCTCCGTTGGCTGCGCTGTTCATGATCTCCCTCAAATCAGTTTCATTGAATGCACACAATCACGGTGTCCAGGAAATTCTTGGACAAAGGCATTGCTCAGTGGATCAAAAACCGCTACCCGCCCACTGAAGAAGGCCTTAGGTCCAAAGCAAGGTGAACTTCTCAAAAACAAAAGAATGTTCTGACTAGCCTTTAACTTTAAACTGACTTTGGCCTGGATCCCAAAAAGAACTGCAGCTCATATTCATTGTATGTGCCACCGAGATTCGAGGAGCAGTTGCCGACCACCGGGTGCCCATTGTGCGCAGGTGACAAAGCCATTCTCCTGACAGTAAAGACCTCACCAATGAACCTGCTAAGATTCCAAACCTCTACATCACTGTTGACAAAATCCAAACCAATCAAAACCACTGTCCTCCGAAAAGCCTTAGTTGCACCAGCAACTAAGAAAATAGCTTTCATAGCACCAATTCAAAGGCTACTTGCAGGTGCTTCCGCCACCTATTACCAATTACAATGTTCTTCACATGCTTCGTATGACGCCCCCATTCAATCATCCCAAATCGATGGCCACATTCTAGAATGCCTCTCATTGTCTCTCCAGATCTAATGCACTTTTGAAGTATAAACACTTGGGAAAACAAGCGTATCAACAGTGCCACACTGCCACACCAGATTTGACGAGCCCACCGTCTTGAGAATTTACATACATTCAAAAACTGTCTTCTTGAGTCTTCTTGTGTTATCCTGCCGATGCACTTCGTAGGCACTTGCCCGTTTTGGCATCGAACAGCTTCGCTTCCAAGTCGCTAGAGCCTGAAGCTGAGCTGATCAAAACTCGAACATCTAGTATGGTCTAGTCTAGTCCCTGCCTTACTTCACAATACAACACTTAACTTAAGTTACAAGTCTTGAGCTTTGAAGTTGCAGTGGATCTTGGAAGGCCGCTTGCTGAGGCAGAACTCACAAAATGAAACAAAATTCACACACAAACAATGACAACCGCATGTTGAACAGGGAAAGTGGTGAAGGTCACCCCGAAGCACCAACCGTTCAACAAACGTGCAAACCGTGCAAACCTCAGATGGTTGATTTTGCACGCGTGATGGGGTTCCGTTGGTCAACGCTAAAAATATGTCCATGTTCTTGAATCAGTAGATATTCCTGATGTTAAGGTCCACGCATGGAGGATCTAGATGCTCGGACAAACACACACACACACACACTCTGGGAAATCAAACGTTTTCGTCTCTGAACTTCGTTTTCGTCGAGATGCTTGTAAGCACAAGAGTCCCATCAATCGATAGTGTTGCACTGAGCACTGGTGCAGCGTGATCAGGAAATTCCTGTAAACCTCAAGCCACTGTGATGTCCAGCGGCGGCGAATGGAAAAAACTGCAGTTCTGTGTGCAAACGCATTAGAGCACACACTTAGACCTTGGCTTGCCGAACCGCACGGATGAAGGAATATTTGAACACTGGTTCACTAGCACTTTGCGAAAGTCGCCGCTTGATCAACAATCCAACAAGAATGAAAGATTGAAACTCAAGCAGGCACACAGAGCTTACCAGGCCCTGCTTCCAGCACAAGTGCATAGCTTCGTTGGGTGCAGTTTCCACTGCACCCCCTGCTGAACTGTACAAATGTGACAGGGCCCCTTGGAAACAGGAGTTTGCACACACACACAATGCCGTATTCGGCGCAGCTTTGGAAGAATGGCAGGCACTTGACTGGAAAAACCTGGCTACAACCTAAGCCTCCTCTGAAACAAAGAAAAGCCAAGAAAGAGAAACGAAAGCAGGAAAGAACGAAAGCGGGGGTGGAGGGGTGGGATCGGGATGGTGTGGGTCGACGAAAACGAGCCTAAACAGCAATTTAGCAAGCCTCAAATATATACCACAAACAAACGAAAGTTTGAAAGAAAACCCAAAAAGCCGAAATCGGCGCTGCCTTGACTGAAGCTTAACCTGAAACCGAACAGGCTCTAGCAACGAACAAAAAACCTAGAAAGAGAAAGCTAAGGAAGAAGAGAGATGGAGAGAAAGCAAGACCATGCATGAATTACTCAGCTTGATTCACTTTGATTCAAATTTGGAAAAGCGAATGCTTAGCCGCGTGTCACGTCATTCTATGGCAAATGCAGTAGGCCCTGCGGCATAGTGTCAGCTACCTCGAGCAGGCGGCTGATCAGTTGTTGATTCGAGCAAGGCTGAAGAACCTGTGAGGTATCGCCCTCGAGGGCCGGCGCTAGGCGCGCCCAAAATTGGGATCACACAACAGACCGCAGTGGGACCCTGTTGCGAACCACATTTAGATCCACGCTCGCAAGAGCTGAATTAGTACTTGCCAGTGAGGCTAGCACTTTACGTTACTGAAAGCTAGACCTTGACTTTCAGAACCGCACAAATGGTCAGTCTGCGAAGCACCAGCACTTTACGAGAAAAGGAGAGTCGCCACTTGATCAACAGTTCAACAAGAATGAAAGATTTTAAAAATTACAGTAAGCAGGTACAGTACACAGAGCTGATCAGGCACTGCTTCCAGCACAAACATGCAGTTTCCACTGTGCTCTGCACCCCCCAAACGTGACAAAGCTCCTTGGAAACATGAGTTGACACACACTTTGACAATTGGTTTTCACTTACCTCTATTCCACGAAAAAATGGATGAGGGAAACGCAAGGTGAAGCGGTCAGCACAATTGAAATGTTGAACAAGTGTTCATGCTGCGTGACTGCGGGTTCTAGTTACTGAATACGTAGCCGATCGAATCCGATCGAATTATCGCCGTGCATAGAAACCTGTTTGTGGGATATAGCATGCAGAACCACCATGGAACCAAAAAGGAAGAGTGGAGTCACAGCGTAAACAAAAGTTTTCAGCAGGTACGTGGAAATAGCATCCCATTTCCATATCCCCGGATACATCGCCAGCTTCGTTGACCAAGCGACGATGCATCCTGCCTGGTCCCTGCCTCTGTTTAAACCCTAAGGGAAATTGAATTAATTTGCAACGCGTGGAAACCTCAGAAACAGGTGGTGACACACACAAACATGGCTCACAAGATCTCACAAGTTTTACTGTACTGAGAGCCTTCTGGCCAACTGCAGGGCCAGTAACACGCTCCAGTGCGCGCATCAAAAAGCCGGGCAGTACCATCTTGCCCAGCTGTCAGGACCTGCCAAATGCGGTGGAAACAACAAATCCATGCCCGCCTGGCGCTGGCTGGATTGGTTCAATGTATGTTTTTCAATGTTTTGGCCTTGGACAGGTCTGGAGAGAATTTGGCACTGCAAAGTGCCGCGTCCGAGGCCGCTTGAAAGGTGCAGCGGCATGCGCCAGTGTCTGCACAAAACCTCAGCAAAGTCGGAAACATTGACAATACAAACAGTGCACGTTATCTACTTTGACCTTGTACGTGATTCCGTATGATGTCAATATTTCTCTTGATCTGTCAGAAGAAGGAACAGCTTTGATGCACCATCTTTGGATGCGGTGAGGATCATCTTGCCTCGGCCACACCCGGCTACTCGGCAAAAAAAACACCGTAACACGGGGCCAAGCACATCAGCTTTCCAGTGCTTCACGGCTACCGTCTGGTGACATAATGCACGATCGCAATGGGGCTGTGTGACCGGCCTCGGTTGGAATTTGGTGCTTCTCCACGTGCAAAAAACATCCACGAGGACAATACAGGTGTAGTTTTCTTATTTAAACATATTGAAACATAAATAAGAAAACAAGATCACATGTAGCCGTAACGTTAGCCGTATAGCTCAAAAGTATTTCATCGAACAGTGGCGCAAGTGCAAATCCGCTCCCCAGTGCGAGCATAGAGGTCAGCAGAGCCATCGTATAAGCTTGCAAGCACTTTGCTAGCATCTGGTGAGAAGGCAGCGGCAGACATGCCCACACGCCTTCCTGAGTGGAACATGGACCATGCCCACGGCAAACGTGGAACAAATGGAAACACCCAAAACTGGCCGAGCCATTGGGCGGAAGCCAAAGAAGCCAAAGCCCTGCGACCTCCAAAGGTTGGACAAGGTTCCACCCGTCGGACGACCGAAGGTGACTGTGCAACCACCAGTCTCCACATCAAATAGCCGTGCAAAGCCTTCGACAGAGCTGGTGAGAAGAGCTTTGCCATCAGGAGAGAAGACCTGACGCTCAGATGCGCCAAGCCACCATGACTCAAATACTCAGGTTCTGTCTTTTCTTGCATGTGCAGGAGCTGCGGCATTGAAGTTCAATCTTATGAGAGGGTTGTTCTTCGAAGCATATTGCTACCCAAGAGCTGCCGTGCAAACAAAGTACCTGGGCAAACAAAGCCAGCTGCACCCACACAACCGAAAAAGTGACGAGCAAAGACCCCTCATGCACACTTCCTCGCTCTCAAGGATTTCAAGTTGCGCATGATGCACCAAGTTTGTGAGCAAGCGCCCCGATTGTGCGTCCAGCAAACCCACCACAGAATGTGAATCCATGACCTGCGCCCGGCAACTTCATCAGCGAGGTGGAGAGGCTACAGTATGACAAGCAAACGGCATGGGCATCAAAGGGTTCCTTCAAACAGATGCTAGTTGACAAGAGCTACTGCCCTTGCAACACTTGACTAAAACGGAGCTTGTTAGTCCGACCGGCCACAAACATTGCCCGCCAGCACTCTTCTTCCATCTGCCGCGAGACAGGCGTCCTGCACGGGGCCCAGGACCCTCCACAGCTGCACCTCGTTCGCTTCGGAAATCTCAGGCTGCTCCGCATCGACTTGACACGAAGCCCGCGGCAAAACAGCGGTCACATTTGTTTGGTATACTGGCTTTGGGTTCTTGCATTTTTGGGTGTATAGTATTGATTAGTCGGGTAATTGCGTATCAAGTCACTCCCGTGGTCGAATCGTACATCGCAATGGAGCGCGCTGAAGTCATGGTCAAAGCTCTCGTGACATCCTCCGAGAAGCTGACTGAGACCACAGCACTGCAGTGCCTGACGAGACGACCGTGAGATACGAGACTGAGCATGTCTAAGTCTACAGTAGGTGAATCCGCGCTTTTTGGGCAGGTGGAGTCCATAAAAAGCTCTCAAAACCTTGACAACCTTAGGGACCTTTTGACACCCTGTGACCCCTGACTCGCTCCGCGATTCGGGGTCTGGCATCTTGGACTTCTTTGATAGAAGTCTCGGAAGAAAACAATGGCCAATCGGCACTTTTTTCCTTCAAGCATCTGGAAACATTTGGCTTTATATAATCCACAGACATCCACAATGTATCAAGCTCACAAGTTGCAATCGTTCATTCTGCCGAAACACCCTCCGAGAATGCTGAGGCTTTTCCCAGTGTGCAGTTCAAATATGCGTGCAGTTCCATCCTGCATAGCAGTTCGATATCATTGGCATCTTCTTATTTCTGTTGCTTGATCATGACTGGGCTGCACTATTCTTGTCTAGCGGAGGATCAGAAAAACATTAACATGACCGTTGAGGCTACACTCCCGAAAACTAACATAGACCCTGACAATGGCCCCCTGGAAGAGTGTTTTCCTCTACCAACCAGTGGTTTCCAGGGTCCATGTTAGTCTCCCAGGGTGTAGTTTGGCTCCTCTGAAGCAGTGCAAAGCTTCCTCGGCGGAAGTCGCAATAAAGTGAGAACGGAGCCTTGACAAAGACCCAAATGACCTGTTCAGGGGCAAAGCGGCGCAGGGAGTCGACAAAAGCTGTTCTGGTCAAACGAGTGTTGCGGAGGGAACTTGGGTGGAAGAAGAGGGGCTGCATGTTGCTTGACAAAACCCACTGTAGTCAGCATGTTTCAAGCATGTACAAGACCAGGTCTGCCGAAATCAGCCTTACTTACAAAGATCTGGCAGCAAGTCGACAGAAGGCCCAAAAGGGGGCATGAGTGGCAATGATTCGAACACATTAGAGTGTATATGCGTGTATTAGATATCATTCTACAGTAACGAGTCACGAGCACTATCAATCAACATATGACATGCTCCACTGAGAGAACAACTAAAAAGTTAAAGGAGAACATCCTTGTGTGAACCTTATATAACTACCTTTTGCCGAAACAACTCGGAAAAATTCTGACCCTGGCTTCACTGTCTGCATGCAACATAGCCACTAAAATGCCTAGAAACGACTTGAATATACTTGAATCTTCTCGGAACATTTCGCATCCCGAGCCGACGATTTCGATGTGGAGAAACTTTATCCGAGAGCTGTCCCGAGTTGCAAACCAGTGTTGGTTTAAACATGCGGCGTCAAAGTGAACAATCCTTGGAGCTCGCTGACCCGCTATATGTATAATATGTAAGTACACAGTCTTTTGCATCTTGATTCTTGATGATTTTTGTTGAGCCTTTCAATCACCATCCATCCAGTTTCCCTTGCTCTCGGTCCACAGCAAATTTTATGGGTACTTGGCAGCTGCATGAGTGCTGTGGATGTTCCAATCCAGGCCGGCCGTCACCAATAAGTCCCTGTGCCTGCAGTGTCACAGAAGTCCAGCTCTCGGTCGCCAAACATGAGCACGCTGTGAGGGAAGGCATCCCTCTCAGGATCCAAGGCATCAATCTTCTCGCGCAGCTGCACCAGCGAATCCTGGCACGAAAGGAAGAATTGGTACATAAGCTGGAGGCCCTGGAAAGGAAGGCAGCCAAAAACGAGGCAAGGCCATTGAAGGATCCACAGTGATCGTTGTTGTGGCCACTGGGAACAGTATAAGAACTCTTGTGTAATGAAATCCTCTGATTAATAAACCACCCCCCCCCCACATGGTAGGTCAACAAGGTCAAGAAGGTATGAGATACCACTCATGAGGTCCACCTCCCCTGAATTATCGGCTCAGGGAGCCATCGTAGTCGCAGTCGTCGTCGGTAGTAGGTAGTAGGTAGTAGGTAGTAGGTAGTAGTAGTCACAACAAGTTTAAACAAGCACAAAGAAAAGGCCAGGGACACAGGATCAAATTAATAGGGGGTAGTAGTGCAGATTATTGATGGGGGACCGGCCCTTGTGAGGGGTACCCTTTGTGAGCTTGTCAAATGAGTGTTTTTAATTGTTTTTTAATAAGGCAATTTATAGGCCCTGAGCCCTAGACATTTTTAAGGATTTCATCAAACTTGAGGCCAAGGGGGGGTGCGAAAGCTAGCGCTCCAGAATGGGAAAGTGGACGGCAGCGAGGTAGGAAAAAACACGGCGCTCTTTTTGGAGGCAGGGGTGAAGAGTCCTTTATATGTGGCTCTTTGCCCGGATCCTCCTGCGAGAGAAGAAAGAGAAGAGAGACGGAAAGACGAGAGACAGAGAGGAGAGAGAGAGAGAGAAAGGAGAGAGAGATGAGAAAGAGATGAGAGAGATGAGAGAGATGAGAGAGAGAGAGAGAGACAGTGAGACAGTGAGACAGTGAGAGTGAGCGAGTGCGGCCGCAAGATACGCAACGCTAACCGCATGCCAAAGAGCGACGACAGGACGGAGTCGAACTTGCGAAGAGGGAGGAGGGAGGGAGGGAAGGTGAGAGGAAGACAAGGAGGAGGAGAAAGAGGTGGGGAGAGGGGAGGAGGAGGGGAGGACAGTGAGACAGTGAGAGTGAGCGAGTGCGGCCGCAAGATACGCAACGGGGGGGGGCTTCGACCTGAAAAATCAGGGGTTAGGATTTGCACCCGGTCGAAAGAAACCTTGCTATCGCAAGAGTAACTCCAGCTAGCTTCGCTAGCTTTCGTGACATGTAGTAGGTAGTAGGTGGTGATGGTGGTGGTGGTGGTGGTGGTGGTCGTGGTAGTAGCACGTAGCAGTAGCAGTAGCAGCAGCAGCAATAGCTAGCACTAGTAGCAGTAGCAGTAGCAGTAGCAGCAGCAGCAGCAGTACAAGTAGCAGTAGCAGTAGCAGTAGTAGTAGTAATACGAAAAATTGACCTGGTTGTGGGCTCGGATTAACTGGGGGGGTTTCTGATGCCCAACTAGAAAATTAGGGGGGGAAATAGGCACGAATAACACTTTTAATTTGGGCAATTTTTGGTGGGCTTGTGTCTTCGGATTAACTAGGGGAGGTTTATTAATCGTAACTTTGCATTACTGTGTGCTGCGGCCAAAATATGCCAAAATGCCGTGACGCCAAGGATCTGCTGCATTGACGTCGATCGTGACGAGCCTTGGGAAGGCAGCCCTGAGATGTGTGATTTTCACATTCTGGCACCAGCTGGGAGGTGCAGCAACCTGCAGCCCTGAGAAACGGGCGTTTCGCCGGACAAGAGCTTCACCTCCACTTCAAAGGCGGCTGGACTGCGGCTACGGGATCCTCAATGGGAACAGGCAGTGGCAACAAGGTCCAAGAAATCACCGATTGAGCTGTGAGCCTTTACCATCACGGTCCACTCCCAAATAAACAAAATACAGGAAGAGAAGCCATACATTGCCCCAGCAAAAGTGCCTATGCCACCTGCCACTTCAAACTGTTTTTTTGGTCACCCTATTGAGACTCCTCCAATCGCTAGAGGGAGTATTTACACATAAAAACCCTACAAATGCTTCACAGTGCTGCCTGGAACCACTCCAGCACTGCCAACATTGTGCCAACATTATATATACATACATATATATATATATATTAATAGAGTTCATGTTGGTGGTACAAGTGCAACAGGACAATGCCGTGAACATATTAATGCGTACACGTGCACGTTCAGTCGTCAACACTTCTGCAGTGAGGCTCTGCTTCGAGTGGATGTCATACTGTAGCACTTTTCCGAGCAGCTGGTCCAGTGCGACCATCGATCCAGTTGTGTATTCAGTATATAATTTCCTACAGTGGGAGCTGGTTACCAGTTGCTGAGTACATCTGAGCACCTGAGCACTGAGTGCAGGTAGAATCTCTGCGACATGCTGGGTGTACGTTTCACCCCAAAACATCAACCACAAAAGGACAAAATGTGACCAAATGTGTTCTGAAAGCTTATGGATGCTTATGGACAAATCGAATCTTTTCCGACATTGCACAATTTTACCTTAGCTTTCGAGCTTTTGGAGCCAGAATTGCTGCCGAAAGAAGGGCAACACCATTTGGGGTTCTCTCTGTCTGAGCGACGCTTCCCACCAGCCCCCTCGTTACATAGTAACAGGATGTAACAGGTACCGGGGGAGTGGGAAGCATCATCATTGGATGCGTATGGGTGACATGACATGCTGTTCCGCCAAGCTTAGATCTTCACCTGCATAATTGCTTAGGTTATATCAGCTTAAGCCATGCTAAGCCATCGCAACTTACACGCAGTGGCTGCAGCCCTTTAAAATCACAGGTGATGACCTCACCTGCCGAATCAATATACCGCATGAAAGACTGTCCAAAGTTCCTCAGGTGGACACGCCATAAACCAACATTTTGCCGCCTTCGCGTGAACAACTGAGAGACAGCAGTAAACGTATCGAACGTGTAAGTGAGCAAGCCAGCAACCCTTCAGCCACTAGGCCGTTTGGCATGGTTGGGGCGTGGAGCTTCACCTGGCGGACTTAGCTTCGCTTAGCATCATTCAGCATTGGGTAACATCAGCTAACATCAGCTAACTCTGCTCATGGGTCCCAAGTGCCCGATCGGAAAGACCGAGAAACCGGGAGGTTCGCTTCCGCAAGCCGCCAACACATCTATACAGGTCCCCCGAAGGGGATTCGAAGGTGGGCTGGGTATGCTGGCTTTGCTTGGTCACTTTCATGCTACTTGCAAGTTGCTTTCGCAAGCAGACTGGGAAGAGTGAGGTGCAGAAATTCACTGTGCCCAAGTCCGGTACACAACCCGGGCTTCACATAGGGTCGAATTGAACACTTGGAAGCCCACAGTCACTGCTTTGGTGGAGCCGAAGCAAAAAGGTTGCAGGATGCAACTCATCAGTCCGCGATCCTGCCGCATCTTGCCTCTGGCACTTTACAAATAGACCACCATGACTGAGTGGCTACCGCAGTTTTCGCTCACGCGGATGCAAAAATGCAGAAAAAAACGCACTGAAAATTGAGCGCCATTCCAGTACGAATGGTATCTTCGCATTGCCATGCTGTGGTGAATCTGCTAGGCAGGTGTTTGCAGGTTTTGTGTTGCATCTTGCGATGGATCTGATGACTCACTGTCCCGACTAAACTACATCTCATCTCATCTCATCTCGGTCAACATGTTGCACCTGTTGGTCTTCACCATAGCTCTGTGCATAGCATATGCGGTCGTGGGTCAACAATATTTATAAGACCTGAGACAACGCCGTAGGTGTTCTGGATTACTTTTCCTCTTGGGGCCCAAGTTCTCGTTACAATATGTTCGACCCACAGCCGAGGAATAATTTGTAGCACAAATGTTGTTGCATGCATTGTATCAAATGGTTCTGCCACGAGCTCTCTTCGACTTGTTCTTCAACATCGATGCCAAGTCTTTCATAGTCTTCCTCCTTGACAAGCCACAAAATGCAACTCAGCAAGCAGCTACGGCTACCTGTCTTGTTCAACTGAATAAGTAATTAATGCAAATTAATTAATGGATCTTCGTTGGCAGTTGTCAGGTTATGCCTAGTATTTTTCTGATATTGCAGAAGTACAAGTTTCCTTGGTCTATAGAGAACCTCGTAAGAATTAGCAGATTAGCAGTCGAGATATGTCGAGATCAGTTTGCATCGAAGGATCATTTGAACCCTTATTCTCTCAGGGTGACACAAAACATACAAAACCTTGTACGCACACCCACTTGAACACATTTGTATACATTTGTCAAAACTCAATTTAACTCAGTCATAACTCGATTCAGCTTAGATTCAGGCTTGGCGGTTCCATGACGGAGAGCCTCTGAACACACTCCTGCGCTGAGGGCCTGTCATAGGCATTTACATGCCATGCCTCAGACAGGAAGTGACGGAGCTCCCGTGTTCCCACGGAAGAGTTCAACGAGGGTCGAGGCTCCTCACCTGCCAAGGGATGATTTTTTCCAACAAGGGTTTCACGGCATTTCCTGCTGTTGCATTGCTGCACATCGCCGGCGCCTGCTCGGTACGCGCGCAAAATCATTCTAGGGTCCTTTCCGAACGAGTAGAAAGGCCTTGGATGGCTGCAACTCCACGGCTTCTCTGCAGGTAATGCAAATATGCACAAGGAAAGGTAGAAGCTACTGCAAGTTTGTTGTCAAGGCACTGCCTTCCTGAAAAAATGAAGTAAATAATCAAGCTGAAAGCATAGATGTCCACTTTCTCGTCATACTGTTCATACCGAACAACCTCCGGAGCCATGTACCTCCAGGTACCAACACCTCCAGACATCTTCGGTGCTTGATCTGTACATGCATACAGCCTGGCAGCAGGTGATGATGCCTCGTCTTACGTATCTGTGTTAATCTTTGTTCTATGGCATTCTCTACGCTGAAGCGTGCCTTTCAAGTCCTTCCTTACAGGTGCATCTAAACTGAATGATGCATATTTTTGCACATCCAACGAAGCGTCGTTGGAGCAAGTACAATAAATGTCTTGATTGCCTGGCATGTCTCCATGGAAGGCGTGAAAGGAAAAGTCAGCAAAATGGCGTAACTCATACGGAAGGCAAACTAAACGAACGTGTCTTTCTTGAGGCCCGTCTGACTCAGTTGCATGGACCGGAATGTCATGACAATCTGAGCAAGGCCTTTGGACGCAATTGGCAAAGTGTTGCAGAGAACCTATCTCTATCATTCTCGAACGCAAAGCAACGCGCCTCGATGGCATCACCTTTGCCAAACCGAAATCACCAATCTTCACCTGCAACCACATGCCAGGCACACTCGACATACCTGAGACTCGAACATGCACTCTTGATTACGTTGTCCTGTTGTTTGAGAGGGGCAAACTCCAACATGTCCAAATTGATGGGGCACCAAGGCCGCCATGGTTTATGATTGGATCATTTTCAATAGGACATGGACCATGGAAGTGAATCCGGAATGTCAACCTTTGTCTGGTCCACCCGCAAATCTGCCATGCGCCTCCAAATCCTTTGTCAGGAACATATTCAACGGCTTCAAGTCCCTGTGGATGATCGGGTGCTCTCGGCCATGCAAATAAGCCAGGGCTGCACCAGTGGACAAAGCCCAACGCATTGCCAAAGCAAATCGTGGCTTCCAGAATCCATCCACGGAAGCGATACGTTGCTTGAGCATGTAGGTCCTTGGTTGGCAGTCAGTCAACATCCGCGGGCCTAGATCATGAAACCACTGAACTGCACCAAATCATTGGCCAAGCACGGTTTTCCTCAATACTCTTCATATGTGTTCATCACCTTTTGATGTTTGGTTGTGAACTACCATTTGCTCCTTCTAGTCTCACTTGATCTTTTTTGTTTTCCATCGTGTCAGTTCAAGTCTGGCTAATGCCGGTACGAGCACTTGGCACTCGGTTATCAAGCCTATTTTGGCTATGCGTTCGCGTGACATCAACATCATGAGTCATGACTGACTAAGGAGGGAACCAGCAAACACAATCCAAGCGCACAGCATTTGTGGACGCAAGCAGATTGAAGCCTACATTCGTGATCACGGACCCATTGTGAACCAGCAAACGCTAAATGCGCAAGCCAGGTCTAGACAGCATCGTAACAGCAGTGATGGGAATTTGTACTTTTCAAAGGAATGCAAGATCTTTATGAATCTTGCAGGGTGTGACCATGCGCAATCGGACAAAGGACGCTACTAGGGGCTCCTGGCCATACTACTAGGAGCAAGGACGCTACTAGATCTACTAGGGGCTTTAGTTTCTTTATTTATTTTAGTTTATTATTTAGTTTGGCTGTGGTCCCCAGTCCCCACTTCACAACTCATCAATACCGCTTTCACATTGGCTGGCTTGCTTGGAGCAAAGCTCAACCAGCATGGCTTAAGTGTGCGCTTTTATTGAGCAGCGGAGCTTGACCTTCATCAGCATAGTCAAAGAACTGCAAGACGGGCAAGCAGCAACAGCCAGTGAGAAGTTTTCAAAGGAATTGCATCGGAAAATGAAACAAACACTCTAAACATGGAACCGGGTTGCAGCGCAGCGTTTGGATAAGGAACGACGACCCAGTGAGGTTTAACGGTTTTGCCTTTGATGCTGTGCTTTAATCGGCTCACCAGGTGGACACCCTGGTCGTTGTTGGAGGAATTTGGATGCTGGTTATCACACATTTGGATACATCGAGAAATCTATTGAGAGAAAGAGAGAAAGGAGAGAGAGAGAGAGCGCCTCACAGTCGATGTCATTCAGTAATTGTCCTAACCTGAAAATGCACTTGCTGCAGATGCTGGAGTTTTGTATTGTCCAGGAGGCACGACCATCTATATATACCTGCCTCGAAAGGATGACAAGTCGTACAAATAGGTCTTCTGTCTCCGGACTTTCCCTATATAATTTTTAGACAAAACACTCTTGCTTTGCAGCACCTTCAGGGAACGATGGGAACTCTTGATCTATGGTTCACGTGCTTGTCCATTCAGGCACAAGCTCCTCGCATTTCCTCTTTGCTGTTAATGCATATTGATTCTGATCATGTGCGCCATGCTTGGCGATTACAGTAAACAACATGACAAAAAATGGCGATATTATCTGATATGAATCAATCAGGCATAAAAATCCAATGCTACGCAACACAAAAACCTCGAGTGCCGGCAAGGCTCTCAACATCTTGGTTCTCCATCAATTCTGTGAGCAGAATTGGCGACCTGACGTCAATGCTTGCGCCAATGAGTTGAACCAGGCATGGATGACTGAGCTCGCTGAGAACTTGAATTTCATTCATCAAATCCTTCATCTTCAGCTCATTCTCCTCCTGGCTACACTGCGTGTCCATCTTCAATTGCTTTGCAGCCACAAATCGCCCTTGCCAGCTCGCAATGGACACCGTGCTCTTGCATGTGGTGCAGAGTTCCTTCTTCAGGATCACATCAGCGGGATTCACCCGGCACATTTGGCTCAACTGGCTGCTCATGGACATTGAGCATGCTTGCCTCAAATTTCCTTCATCTTCCAAGGAACTGGCCCGAGTGCTTGCGAGGCTTGTGCTGACAGAGCTCGGAAAAAGGCTTGCATCATGTTGGCCTGAGCCAGCTCCAAAGGGGAGAGTGGCCCCAAAGGACTCAGCGCAAGTTCCAAAGGCAGCAGGCATTGTCTTCGCCTTGATGTTACTTCGCGGCAGGATGACATGCACCGAGGGAGTTCTTGCATCGGGAATAAATCCCGAGTTGGTGATGTCTGCCGTAGTTTCCATTCTGCTCAATCTGCTCATCTTGAAATCTTCACGTTTCCTTCCGGAGTTTGCTGCTTCGCCTGAATGACGGCTCCAGCAAAGGTCAGGCTCCACTTTGTTCACTGTCACAGTGCTACACTCGGCACCCATGATTCAACAAATGGGTAGGTTCGCGGTCGGAGTTGCTTGAACTGATTGACCTGCAAATGTATAATAGACTATACTATACTTCGCAATTAACTCCTTCTCTATTGAAGCAATGATTGCACATTGTTCCAAAACAGGGCTACTTCAACCCAAATCATCCAGCGACGTCCGCCGCTATGCCAAACCTGATTCATTGGCCCTCTGAGATGACTGCACCAGTAAACCCACTTCCGGCCAAGTGCATGTGGAATCACACCAAAATCATGAAACTGCAGTAGGCGGAGCTACTGGAACCCTTCCAACAGCAACTTTTTCACCGCGCATGTCTCTGTGCACGTCTACCATTAACAGTACAGGGTCAAAACTCTACTGGCGAGATTTAGGCTGCTGTCGTCTCCACCACTTTCACCTCCTGCTCCAAAAGCAGCCGCGCGAGCATGCTTGACCATTGGGCCACCAAAACAAGTCGTTACAATCTTCTCAGCAAGTCGAGCCCATGTTCCAATTGTTTTCTTTATGTGGTCCAGTCCACGGTCCACCGTTCGGTGCATTGCGATGGACCGTGTTCCTCTCAGAACGTTCTGTCCTCTCCGTTACCATCTGCTTCACCCTCCGGGGCCGGCTGGTCCCGGAGAATCATGACCTGAACGGCGCCATCGATCCAATCTCACCGGCGGTGCGCAGGTGGTGCGCAACTCCATTCTTGGAGTTCTAATGTTTTCTACTGTTTTCTGAGCATGTTTTCAAGCAAAAAGCATGAGCAAATTGCAGAAGCTCCCATTTCACCCATCCCGGCGTTTGCGAGACAAGCTCCCAGCGTTGCCGTCTGCGTTGACATCCATAAGGATGTGCTCGCCCTCCCGAGTGGGCTCCTGTGTCTCATCCACATCTATGCTGAGGAAAGGCATCTATGTCAAGAAAAGCTCATGAAGGTGAATGCTGCTCGGCGCTCTTTGGCCCAGGAATATGGCCTACAGGAAGCCCTGTCTGAGGAAGCCCAGTCCTTCAAAAATGACTCTGCCAGCTCGTCTTCAACCAATCGCATGATCGCACGGCGCAATGGTCGTGCTCCATAGGTGGGGTTGAATCCCTCATCTACGACCTGCAGGTGCCAACATGTGCCAACGTATTGCTAAAATTAGCCAACATGGAAGATTTCCATCATTGAAGGATAGAAGCAGCACACTGCAAGTTGTAAATCTTGGGTTGCTGTGCTAGATCTTTTTTGAATGGCCTTTTGCTTGAACTTGTCAGTCATCCGCAAGTGGATGCCTTGCAAATCATGATCACAACATCTCAATTCGTTAGTTACCAGTCACCAAAATCTGAGTCAGGAGGGCCGGGCAGTGTGTTGCCCATTGCAATCTTTTGCTAACTACTACTGCAAAGTTTTATGCGATGCCAGAGGAGGCTCTGCTGAGCTGGTACCCCCGCCTCGCTCTTTGGTGCGGCCGAAGGTCTTCTTGAACCTAAGAAGGCCAACAAAACACAACAGGCTAATGCTTAACACATGTTTAAATAATGTTCACCACCACCATCACCACAGCAATATCCGCAACCGGAAGGACACCCAGGCATCAAAGAACCGCAAAAGGACAGTCAAAAGGGACGAACGGTCACAGCCTGGGTCGAACGGTCACAGCCGACGACCGGGCACTCTAAAGAGTTGATTATAGTTGATTCGTAGCACGTTGATCTGCAGCACAGCGACTCCAACTCAGCAATCTGGCTCACTTCTGGCTTGGTGAGTGATCTGAAGACAATGACCTGCATTCGGCACATGGCACGCAAACAAGTGCTCATGTAAACGCAACCGTCAAGAGCAAGCGTGCTCATGGGACCCCTCATGCTTGAGAGGTCTGCCATGCAGGAATGCACATTTGCAGGTCTGGGGCATCATTAATTAAAACATCCTTGGTAAAATGGCTTCTTGCAACAGAATCATAAGCAAAGCAAATCCAAAACCCCAAATGGATGGCTCAAGTCCGGCAATGAGGAAAGTCTACCTAACCACTGAAACATCTGGAAGATTCTGGAAGGACAGGGTCTAGGCAAGGAGAGCCCAACCTCGTCAAGTCGATTCAGGAACTCTGGCTTGAAGAAGTTCTTGAGCCTAAGAACTAAACTATGTGATGCATCATCCATGCTAAAAGCTTAGCCATCCATAGCTGTCTTGCATGTAATCTTCGAAAACTCGTTCGACATCGTTCGACTATATATAATTACTGAACACTTCTCTTCATGAAACGTGCAGCTGAGTCAAAGTTCATCAAAGTTCTATCTTGCAAGAAAGGTGCTCGTCGAAAACAAGGGTCTTCAAGCGCTTGTAGCTGGAGGTTTCCGCATCATCGCCGTCCTCAGTCCGGCGCAAAAAGCATCTCACATCACTCCTAGTAGCGATGCCCTTGTTCCTAGTAGCTTCTTGTTACTAGTAGTAATGCCAGGAGCTACGTTCGTAGCGTCCTTGCTCCTAGTAGCGGTGCCCTTGTTCCTAGCGGCGCATGCGACACGTGCGCCGCATCGCGCCGCGTGCAGGTCCTCAAGGCCGGAGAAGCCAATGCCCCCTCCGCCCTGGATGCCCTTCTCAATGGCCTTGGCGCCTACGTTGGAAGTCCTGAGGTCGCGACCAAAAACCTGAAGAGCACCACAAGGTGGTACTGCCAAGCGGCATGATGATGAGTGCATTTTTGAAGGAAACCACCCGGCCCTTGGAGTCGGTCAGTCGACCATCCTGCAAATGCAAAGATTTAAACTCGCGGCGGTTGAGTAAGTTGGGAAGCCCCCCCCTGGATTCTTGTCCTACAAGTGCATAATCAGGAATGCGTTAATTACAGTGTGAACTGTGACGTGTCCTCCAAGATTTGAAGCATGAGATTGAAGACATCTGGGTGCGCTTTCTCGACCTCGTCAAACAGCACCAAGCCTCAGTCCCATCTGAAAGTGCGACCGATGGCCCGAAGAAAGGTGCGTCTTGTCTGTGGAAGGTGAAATGGGAGGTTCCAAGGTTGAATGTTTCCCCAGAAGCTCCAAGGTTCCCAAATCTAGTGATTTGTAATTGTACATGACATATCATATATATATATATCATGACATGACCATGTTCATCATGTGTTTTGTCTCTCTGTGGCCCACTGCGGCCCAAAGACTGTATGGCTTCCTGCGAATGCCATCCGTGAGCTGGCTCTCTTCATCGTAGCCGACGTATCCGGGAGGGCTGCCGATGAGCTTGGACACCGTATGGCGCTCCATGAACTCAGACATATCCAACCGGATCATGGCTTCCTGTCCACTGCACACAACTATATACATATGATACATATGCTCCACGCATCTCAATGCACTCTATGAAGCATAGTCACTTGAACAAACCTCATGAGCCCCTTGGGTTCCCGGTGTTAACAGAATCGGCACTTTCTCTAGTCTGACAATACACTCCCCGCTCCTCCTTGCCGAAGTAAGCAGCAGCAAGAGCTTTGCAAAGCTCTGTTTTGCCCACTCCTAGTTGCTACCAAAGGCAAAATCTGGATCTCACACGTGTTGCTCGAATTGTTGACTGAATGCCGCAAATGCGGCTCGCACGCTCCTGTTGGTCCACAGAAAATGAAGGATGCAATGGGCCGATTTGGATTCTTCCTGAGCTAGTCACATGTGAAAACATTATGTCAAAGGCAAGAGCAAACTTCCTGGAGGAAATTCAATGCCAATATATATATATGCATAGAAATCCCATCTGAACCCCATCTGAAGGACATACTACATACTTGCACAAGCAGTCCTCTATAAAATGATCGCCTGTGATTCCAATATCTTTTGGACATCTAGAACAATATAATATCTCTATATATATAATTGGTGTCCAACACCCATTTCATAGAGGAAAGTGATGGTCATTTCGTGAGCCTCATGCGCGGAGGATGTATAGTATAGGTATATGTAAAGTTGCAAATATAGTTGTACTTAATCGCAAGTGGAAGTCTGGAAGCTTCTCCGTGGCCCTTGCTGGTGCACTCACTGTGCCAATTCAACGTGCCCAGAAATGAATGGTGCACAAACATGAACAAACAGCATTTGAGTCCTCGAGCACGACATTTCGGACTTGCAAGGCTGCCACAGGAAACAGTAGAAACTCCGCAACCACCCTCGCATCCACATCCAATTGTTATAACATGCCAGGTCCCTGAAATACACTTATTCATGCTTGTTTCTTAGTATATATAAATGCCTTTGTGAGGTATAATAAATAACTAGCACACATACATATATAGAGGGATATGCAAATAGCTTCAGTCTGTTTCGGTGCCAATATGCCTGGAAACGTCGCACTTGGCATCACTTCGGCACCAAGGTGCAGCCCCGCCCGAGCACGTCGCACAGCTTTGGCCACGGCCGTGACGGCTTCGTTTTGGCCAATGACACGGCCGTGGAGGACCTGCGCGTCTGCACCGGCGGTCACAGCAGGTGACCGGCGGTCGGCCATGATACGTTGATGCATCACCTTCTGCAGGGCTATCAAACGAGTCCCCAGAATAGATGGAACAACATGTATCTTCGCTCCAAACACATTGGTACTGTAGCAATAGCTCTTTGAATCGTGGAATGAAGATCCGCGAAATGTTCGATTCTGTTCTATTGTTGCTCCAGTACCTGCACTCGGTCTCAGGCTGGCTTGTGGGGACTCTCATGCTCATACGAGTCAAATCTTTCTTTGAAGCATGCTGTCTGATCTGCAATTATGCCCGTTGTCTGCATTGCTGTTGTCACCGGATGTGCACACTTTTTACATCTTTGCCGCTCGGGCATTGCATGGAACACAGCCTCTAAAATCAATCATCAGACCAAAGACTTCAGTACAATACAACTTCATCCCGCAGTGCAGTGCATCTGGTCTGCAGGGTGACAAAAGATTCCAACGGGAGGAAGTCTCCCCGTGCAACCTGAATGGCACTCTCGGCACTCGAATCATTGTGCTCGCTCGAATCAATTCGATCCAAGCAAACCACCCG